ATTCGGATTCTGACTTGTTCTTGTTCCTACTTACTTATGTTTATCTTGCCGACACCTAATTTGACAGCTTAGTTTTTGCTGACTCATTTGTAACCGTGTCTTTCAAAGCATCCAACTGAATGAATTCTCATCAAAACCATTTCCCCTTGTTTGTGCACTTCTGATTTATCCATTAACGTAACGTTTAATTACACCACAAACAGTAATTACAATGACAGGCGAACTGTCAGAAACACATTAGGGAGCCAGAGCAACCACTGGCGACAAGCCGGGGTGGGGGAGGGGGTGGGAGAGGGGAGGAGAGTACAGGGCCCAGAGACAGGGCTGCTGTCGGCTCCTCTGTCCCCTTCTGAGGAATGTTTATTTCGGAAAGGTACAGATGCACCATTAAGGGGTGCTGGGGATGGGGAGGAGGCTCAGCCTGTACAACAGTTGTCAGGGCGTGTGGTGGCGTCAACTCCGAGCAGTGGTTCTCAACTTCCCTAACGCCATGACCCCTTAGTACAGTTCCTCATACTGTGGCGACCCCCAACCACAACATTATTTTATTGCCGCTTCGTAACCGTAATTTTGCTACTGTTATGAACTGTAATGTAAATATCTGATATGCGACCCCCCAAAAGGGGTCTTGAGCCAAGGATATAGCTCAGTTGGTAGAATGGCTATTGTGTGTTTGAAACCCCGGGTTCAAACCCCAGCACATACAGAAAAGCGGGTGTGGTTCCTCATGCCTGTAATCCTAGCGCTCAGGAGGACCACAAGTTTTAAGCTATCTTTGGCTTCATAGCAAGCTTGAGGCCAGCTTGGGTTACATGAAACCTTGTCTTAAAACCAATCCAACCAGCCAACAAACGGGGTCACAAGCGAAGATGTGGGCAAATGGGAGCCTTCTGCACAGCGCTGAGAGTGTGCAGCAGCATGGCCAAAGGAGAAGCAGGGTGACAAGGTCCCTTTTCAGTTACACAGAGAGTTGTTCTAGGAGTTAGCATCTTCCTGGGCCCCTCCCACAAGAACTGAAAGCAGATTCGCCATGGCCAGGGATAGAGGAGGAGAGATAGGGTTTCCATTCAGGGTGATAGAACATTCTGGAAATAGTGTTGTGTGTGTGTTTTATCGACATTTAATAACCAAGCGTATTTATAGGCTGTGATGATATTACCAACCAGCACTGTGTACTTTCGCATGTTGGAACGTGAGCTTTTGTGTTCATGTGCATTTTCCCATAATGAAAACGAGAACCAAGAAACCCGGGCAGTAGCTCTGTCCTAGAATGGGGCTACTTCTGGTCATCAGAACTCTCTTGGCCAGTGGGCGGCCCGGTGAGATTGAGAACATGTGATCATCTGATACTGCTGGCTCCACCATGCTCCATGCCTGATCCTCAGGTCGGGGGTGCGAGGGGCGCCCTGGCTAACAGAATTCTCCTGATCGCTCACGCCACACACCTGCAGTGTCTGGTTCACTTGGAGCTTTAGGAGACCTATTCAGTCATTGCTGCCCCTGAACCCCCAGCCCAGCGGCCCTAGAACTGTCCTCCTGTGTGGCTGCTTGGTGCCTTTGTTAGGGAATTCACAGGGGCTCTCTGGGGTTCCACTACTTTCTGGGCTATCCGTCTTTAGGAGTCTTTCCACAGCCTCCAGCTACACCCTTCTGTGATAGCAGTGTCGCCCGACATCACTCCACCCACAGCTGGGATGGGGCTCTCAGGAGCTCCCCAGGTAGCTGGGGATGAGGAAGTGTCGGCTTCTGCGGTGACCTAGGCCCTAGATGGCATCTGGAATAGCTGTATTCATCCAATCAAGGTACTGGGGACTGGAGTTGGGGACTTTGACATGGGACTCTGGAAGCTGGGGAAGGGACTGGGCGCCGTAGACCCTCCTGGCCTGGCCCAATGGCTCACACCTTTCCAGCTGGAACACATCTGGGCCCCGGGCACTATTTGTGTTCCCCCACCACCCCGGGGATGAAAGCCAAAGGAGGGACACCCCCACATGGTCCGCCCTACTCAAGGGGCTATCTCTGTGGTATTTCTCAGCCTCTCTGGGTCTCTAAAATGCCCTGCTCCTGCCCTGTGCCTTTGTCCAATGGGTAATGAGCCTGGGATCCCATAGAGAGACAGGAGGAGTGGCTTGCAGTCTGGAACCCATGACTGTTCCCTGAAGGCTGAGAGCTTTGCAGACTTCATCTGGTCCAGGTCTTCCTTTAACCTGAGCTACAAAGCTTACCCTGCTGATGTGCTAGCAGGATAGTGGGGAACCAGGCTCGAACATGGAGCCGGAGCAGGCTGGGACCCTGGAGGGTGGATGGTCTGAGGCCTGTGTTCTTCAGCCAGCTCATGTCTGACTACCGAGGCTCTACCGACTGGGAAGCTGGAGACCGGGAGCAGGTAGCCTGCCACCGTGGCGCAACAGTGGAGCAGGTGCCTGGGTTCTCAGCCAGCCACGGTGCTGCTGAGCGCCCTTGGGAAAAGGCCTCTTATCCTCTCTGGGCTCTTAAATGGCAGAACAGTACTTGCTTCGCAGGGCGGATGAAGAGCAGTGTGGCCGCTGTCGGAAGCCTGGAGCCTGCTAATAGTAAGGATTGGGGTTAGGGTTGCTGACAGGCTCCCACCCCGTGTTGGGCCCCGTGGAAGCCTCTGCAGGGGCCGAGTGGGTCCCTGGTGGGGACACGAGGCTGACAGTGGCTTCTGGTTACCTGGGTTGTACGATTTGAAGCGAAGCATCATTTGAAGGAGGGAGATGAGTGAAGGCTTAGAGAATGAAGACACACTGAACACACGGCCTCAACTACTACTCCCCAGCTGGCCTGGCAACTGGACACCGGGCGAGCCTCTGAAGATGCCGGCACAGCTGAGATCAGCCCGAGACCCCCGTGCCAGCCTCGTGGCCTCTTCGCTGCAGTGCTGCTCTGTGGGTCTTGGCCTTTTAAGCCAAGGGGACTCCAGGAAGAGGAGACCCCCCCAGATGTGCAGCTGGCTTTTTGTCCTCCGCCTCAGTTCTCTCTACTGCAAAGTGGTCTGGCTCCCCAAATGAGTTAAGGATCAGATAATAAGTTAGAAAAAGATTTGGTGGATGGTAAAGCAGCCTACAGGGGTCCCAGTTAAGGTCTGTGTAACTATCTGGATTCTAGAACCTTCTCCACCTCAAGAGGTGATTTCCCCTGAACTGGTGGCTCCTGTCTTAGCCCCAAGACAAATCCCCCCTCATCACAGAGGCTTAATGGGAAACCAGAGCCCTGTGCGGGGGCTATAGTGACATCAGGAAGGGGTAGATTTTCTCCCTGCTGTTCTGTGTCCACCAAGAGACTCTCAGGAGAAGCGAGATCCTTTGCAAGGGGGTGGCTCTCAGGAAGCTCTTCCCTAGGTGTGATAGGAGCAGCATTCTTTTTGACAAGAGGGACAAGCCTGTCCTCTTGGGGTGGAAGAGGGCCTTTCGAATTCAGTTAGCAGCTGTCAGGCCCTTTCACATCATGATGTGAGTCAGTCCACTCCCAGCCAGAGGAAGCTTTCCCCACTCCAACTTTCCTTGGAGCAGAGTGGCCCCTGATGTCCAGTGAGGGACCTGCCCAGACACTACCTGAAGCCTGGGACACCCACACTCCCCAGAGCTGCTCAGTGCTCAGGTGTTCCTCTGGTACCCGGGAGCAGCTTTTTCTTACAGCCCCTGAGCAGGAGGTCCACCCCTCACCTCAACCCAGCCCTGCTCACTCAGGCACAGCCAGCTTCTCGGAGACTACAGCCCCTTTGCGTGCTTGGGACACACCCTCCTGCTGCCACATTGTGCAACGGCTTGCCCCCCCTCCACTCCCCTCTCAGGCTGGAAGGCAGAGCGGAGACCCGTCTCAGCGTGGCTGTTTGACACTTAGTCGATTTAGGTCACTACAGTCACCTGGGAGGGCTGTCCCTTGCTCTCCCTAGGCCACCCCCAAACTCCTAAGTCGATACAGAAGCCACCAGCGCATTACTGTCTTACCCAGTGTTCTTTGGGCCCCACATCCACACCTTAAGGGCACCTTCCTGCTTGGGGACCTGTCAGGGACGGGCACTCCATGGATCCTTCAAGAATGCCCCTCTTCCTCCTCCTCCTCCTCCAGGTACCCTCCTGGCTCAGCAGGAGCTGTGGAGCTCTCTGGCCACAGCCAGCTCAGTCTGCTCCTAGCATCTCATGCCACGCAGGGGCACGTGACCTTCCTCCCTGGTCAGAGACCCAGACGGAACTGCGACCCTCATGCGAGTTCCGCTAGGCTCCTCGTGCTACCAGGGCGCACGATGGCTTCCAGAGGCCTGCAGCATACAGTGTTGGACAACCCTTGGCCACATGGACGTGGCAGATGCACTGATGCACCAAGGTCCCTCGGGAGCAGCTCAGATCAGTGACTTGATGGGTGACAGGAGCGGGTGGACAAGTACCCCAGCTCGGCTCCCTCACCTCACGATCCAGGCTCCTCCTCAGCAGGCCAGAGCTCCAGCTGCCTGCTGTGGTGCTTGCAGGCCGTCTGGATCTTTCCCTTCCTCCGTGGGTCCTCGAGCCCCACATCTCTTTCCTTCTTTGGCCTCACTCCTCCAGTCCTTCCTTGGGGTTGCCCTGGCAACCATGGCTCCATATCTGCCATCTGGGAAGTCTCCAGCTCCGCAGGCTGCTTGGCCTCCCCAGCTCTCTAACTGCTGCACAATTTCCCCCCGTGGAACTGGGGCCCACCGCTGCCTGGTGTCTTTGCGACAGTTCTTGTCTGTCCCCTGTCCATGGTAACCCTCCCTGCATGGTAACCCCTGGCCCTTCTCTCCAGGTATCACCTCCTTATACAGAGCTTAAGCATCCTTGGTCATGCCCGTATTTTCATGTCTGGACTTCATGCCCTGCCTCCAGCCCTCAGGCTCATCCTGGATGGTATGAGTGGCAGTGGCCATTCAGTGGCCCCTAACAGCTACTCTTTAGAGCCCCCCCCCCACTGCTGACTCCCAACCCTGGCAGAGTGCAGGCTGTCACAAAGGTGGTTGAAAAGATAAATATTATTTATATCGCCCCAGCCCCACCTCAGTCCTGCCATGGATGCTCAGCTCTCCCACCCAGCCAGGGCTGGGCCACTCCAAGCCTGGGAGGTAAAGGGTCTCTCCATTAGTTGTCCTAGAAGCCACTGGCCCCAGGGTATTTGAGCAGAGGGGCCCCTTCCCACTTCACTCAGCTTATGAGTGTGTTCCAGAGGCCAGCCAGTGGCCTGGGCACCCATGGGCCACTCCTTCCTCAAAGGCTGGGCCCACTCCGGTTCCCCCTCATAGGCAACTCGCTCTTTTACCCAGCCCCCATCTTCCCACAGATAAGACATCCAGAGGCAAGAAGGTTGGTAGGGTTTCAGAGCGAGGGGACTGTCGCTGTCGGTGGATACATGACAGAAAGCTGGATTGGCCTGCAGAACGGTAAAAGTCTAAGGGTGCAAGGCAGCAAGGCAGGGCTTCCCAGAGGCAGTGCCACTGTGCTGATGACATTGTGCTGGCTCAGGAGTGGCTTCGAGGGAGGTGGAGCGCTGTCTGATGATGTCACCAGATGCTCTCTCCAGGTCTCCTGACTGGACCATGTAGCATTGGTTCTCAGTAGACTCCCAAGGAATCGCTAAGACTCAAGAGTCTGCCCAACCACAGAAGAGCGTTTCCCATGATGCCCTGGGGTAGCAAGTGGCCTCCCTACAGTTACTGAAGACTACAGGCCTTCAGTGAGCTGCTCTGGGAGAAGACAGCTCTCACAGGGGCCCGTTAATCTGTCACAAGGTTTCTAGCCCCCAATCTCCGCTTCAACTCTCCAGGGAGAATGGGCAGCAGGGAGCCAGATGCTGTGGGCGGAGCTCAGTGCTATGAGCTGTAGTCTAGGGCTGGGTAGGCTCTTAGGTCTGCAGCCCAGGGGTAGGAACGGGAAAGGCCGGCTGCCTCTGCAGACGGGATCCCCACCAGCGAGCTTGCATCATTTCTGGAGCTGCCGGTCTTGGGGGGCTGCTCCATGGCCTTCAGCTCACAGTGCCGTGGACTGCTTGATGCTGTGAAAGCTGACTCTGCTGGGAGAGGTGGGGATGGACATGGCGCGGGCCACTCGGGCTCTGATGGAGTGCTTGTCCTGCCACCGATGCCACCGCTTCCGGATGGCAGAGCGAACCTGTGGGCACAAGAGAACACACAGCCTCAGGGCCCAGGCTCAGGACACTCTTCTCATCCCAGCATCCTCTAGGCGGCTACAAGCAGCTTTCCAGGTGTGGTGACAGGATCTACAGTAGGGGGTAATGGTCACATAGTTACTTTTATTGGTTTCTATATGTTGAGCCAGTTTTCTCAAATGAGGAAGGGACACTTTTTTTTTTTCCGTAGTCTAACAGAGGTGCTATCTGGCCTTTGCTGTACAGAATCCCTACCTCTGCTCAACATTCCCTACGACGGAGACTCTATCTTCTAGCCTCCCCCACACCATGCCATGCCTAAAGTCAGAGTGGGAGCTGAACCTGGGAAGAGGGAGGAAAGGGTAGAGGAGACATGAGGGTCACAGTTCTCAACCTCCGGAGACTCAGTATTTTGAGCCCAGCCTTGGCCTTAAGGTCCTTACCTCACTGTTCAGAAAACAGTAGAACACAGACACGAAGAAGCCCTGAAGGGAAGAGGGGAGTCAGGGGTGAGTGGGTCCAACCCCCTTAGGTTGCCCCAGCCCCCTCCCCACTCCTCCAGCCCTCTGCCAGAAGAATCCCCAGCCATCCCGGCTCCCCCAGAGGTACCTGGAAGGACTCCAGGAAAGAGTTGAAGTAGATGAAGACAATCCTGGAAACCTCGTCTTCTCCAGGGTTGACAAAGAACAACATGTAGGTGATGCCCAGGAGGGGCAGCAACACCAGAGTGGCCTTCACGGCCTTCCTAGGGTTGGAACAGAGGCCAGAGTCACAGGCTACCCGGAGGGGTGGGGCTGCTACCTCAGGGAAGCGCCCCAGGTTTGGGAGGCGGACTCAGGCATGTCTGGGCAAGGTGGGGCCGCAGTTTCTGGGCTGACTGGCTGACCTGGAAGAGATCTGGTTTAAAGGAGGCTGGAACCTCTGAAGTACACTCCCCCTGCCCCACCCCGGAGAGCCAGGTACCTGTACTGAATAGTCTCAGAAGTGGTGGATGCCCGGAGTTTGGTCATGAGGATGCGGACAATGTTGAAGAGAAAGATAAAGTTGATCTGCAATTGGAGCACGCCAGCAGGAGGATTGAGGATGGGTGGCAGGGATGGGCATGGCTAGCAGGGATGGGCACATGTGACAGGGATATATGCAGGAAATGGAGGCGGGTGGGATGGACAGGACCAGCCCTCGCTCACCCCTCTCAGCTCTTCTAGTGTTTCTGCTGTACTTCCTCATCCCTTCCCTCCCTCCTTTCTCTCTCTCCCTCCATCCTTCTCTAACACCCACAAACATCTGGCCTAGTTGCCCTCTCTTGGGCAGAGGGTCCTTTCTGTCCACAGTAGACAGACTGCCCCTCCCCACGGTGGCCTGTCACCTGCTACCTCCCAAGGCTCTTACCAGGAGGACCAGGATCATAGGGCCCTGGTAGATGTAATCGGTGTAGACACCAGGACGTTTGCCAAACCAGCACCTAGAAGGCCACAGAGGGAAAGGGAAGGGAGGGCTCAGCAGAGTCCATTCAGCGGCGTGGCGCTTGACTGGAGCAGGATCAGTGCCAGTGGCCCGGAAAGGGTACCCCAATTTCCAAGAGAGCCAAGCCAATCGACTCTGCTTCAGGGCCTTGCTGATCCTACCTGCAAAGGGGATGGCACCCTCTGCGGCAGGAAGCTGGTGCATGCGCTGTGGAGGGAGGCCCTGGAAAGGGCCCCTGAGCCTGACAGCATGCTCATCCGTGACTGCCTGTAAGGGCCCTGCAAGATGGGGCTGATCATTAACATCACCTCATAGAAGGGGGCAGTAGGGAGGGTCAATGGACCCTCGTCTGAGGTTCCAGAGGTCCTACACCCCTAGCCCAGTTGTATACGGTTCTGTCCACTGCACACAGCCTCACAATCTTAGGAGGCGCTAGAGTTACAGAGTTAACAGGAGGCGAGACTCCATGTAGCTATAGGAACATCCTTATCCGTGCTGTGGGGAGACTTTCTGGTGTGTGTCTACCCTGATGTCACCTCCACTCCTATAAATAACCGTCATCTATGCTCTCTAAGTAACCCCGGGGCATTCACTGGCTCCCCCAGCTGGTGGTCTGTGAATTGCGTTTGAGTTTGTGGATGGGCTCCTATAAGAAAGGGGTAGCTGCTTATTTGTTTCCCGGGGAAAGAGTTCTCCAGACAGAAAGCCAGAAACAACCTGAAGCCTAGAACAGCACTGATGCCCACTGATGGACGTTGGCAGTGGCCTTGGCTGAGCTTGCCACACAAGGGGCTACTAACAGCAGTTTCCGTTGGACTCCATTGGAGTACATCCCGAGAGGGGAAGATTTTGCAGATAACACCTATTGCAAGAGGTAGGGCCGGGGAGTAGACAGGAACAGGGCAAATCAGAAATCCTGTGTCCTTACGGACTTGCAGTGGATGCTGTGAACCGTATGTGAAGTTTGTGGCCTCTCGGCTGTAAGATCAAGTCAGCTACTCTGCTTTCAACACCACTCAGGTCACACATCACTGTGGGCTCCAATCCCGGGACTCCGGGGCCTCTCGGCTTGTCGTCTCTCTCTCTGCCGCACTGTCTGCGTTTGTCCACCAGATGGCGCTTCAGGGCTGCTCACACCTAACTCTAGCATCCTTCCTGCTCCAGGGTGGGCAGGCCAGCAATTGGGTTTTCCCTTCCTGCCTCTCTCTTGCTTTCTCCCGTCTCCCCTTCCTGTTCCTCCTGCCCCATCTCCTGTACTCGCACTTTCATATCCCCATCCAGGAATTGCCCAGGATACCCCACACGCATGTCAGTGAACCAGCTCCCTGCAGCCTGACGCCTATCCTGCTGCTGTATAAACACCCCAGCCTGAGGCAGAAGGGCCATAAACGTTTACTCGGCGATGACTGGGTGGCAGGCACTATTCTATGTGCTTAGTAAGCACCAATTCACTTTCACCTCTGCTATAGGTAGTAGAACGAAGGTGCTCATTTCATGGATGAGGAAACCGAGGCCACCATGGTGGCGCCATTCAGAGACCTGGGCTGCCTGGCTTTCGGTATTGCTCTCCTTCGAACTCCTAGCCTGGAAAAGATCCTAATTGAGGCCAGTGCTCAGCTCTGCCTTTGTTGGCGCAGACAATGGGAGACAATGGCCAGAGTCCCCTAGGGAGCGTGCGCAGAGCGAGGCTCTGACCTCACACGCTGACTTACTTTTCATTGTCGTAGTACAGCTTCCCGATGGCCCATGCCACGATGATGGGGAAAGGTACACCTGAGGGAGAGAGGGGCTGTCATCGGAGGACCCCAGGGCGGCCCGGGGCCGGCAGTAGAGCAGGGATTCCTGGGAGCTGAGCCCTGATGCTTCCTTCGTGATGATCCCACTACTCTCATCCCTAAGAAGGGTCACGCATTCCACCCTCCAGAGCCGGCCCGCCTGTGTCGTCCTTGAGGAGAGGCGGGCGCAGGGCTGGCCCAGCTCACCCCAGCCGATGCCAATGAACATCCACTTGCGTAGACGGTCGGTGGAGTACGTGAGCACGATGGCCGTGTGCAGGTAGCAGCCCTCGCCGAACATCCAGAAGAAGTTGGTGACATGGAAGTAGTTGTAGGCAGCTGTCACCAGCCTGCACCAGCCCTGTCCCAACCAGAGACGACAATGAGAGAGCGGTCCTACCCTCAGGCTCCTCGGGGTCCTGCTCTTGTTCTGTGGGTACCCAGGCCTGGCCTGTCTTTTCCGCATCCCTAGCTGGGACGCACCACATTGCTCTGGTGGACTTCGGGGCTCATGGTGAGCTGGACCACGAACCACGTGGCATTGCGCAGGATGAAGGCCGAGATGAGGTTCCAGTGAATGATGTTCCTCAGGCACCGGATGCTCCTGGGCGGCAGGAAGAGGCCAGGTGGCAACAGGGACAGGAGAGAGAGAGAGAGAGAGAGAGAGAGAGGATGAGGGCAGGTGCCAGCATCACCAGACAAGAATGGAACTCCAGCCCAGACAGAAGAATGGATTGGCTAAAGCTTGGAGTGAGTGCGGCTGACTGAGCGCCACAGGGCCTCTCCTATCTGGGGCCCAACACGTCCGCAGAGCCTGGCGTGGTCAGGGAGTCCCCCTTCACTCCCCACACACCAGGATTTAGAGGCAGAGGGCTTGCCTCCAACAGTGAGCCCCCTCTCGACTTCCAGCACCTGGTGCCACCCACTCCCAGTTTTTTCTCCTGCCACTTGGGCCATGGTGTATTTGAACCTGAGACAGGGATGACACTCTATAAAACCCTCACCTCCAGGGATCTATCTGCCTGATAACCCCAAGATGGGTGTGGAGCGGCTTTAGGAGCTGCTAACACAGGTGAGCTTGGGCTTGGTCTCTTCCTGCCCTGCAGCCCCCATCATCTGACAGGGGAGAGGACCTGAGATTCCCATAGACGGCTACTCTCATATTCGGATGACAGGCAGGTTACCCTTTTGTCAGCACCCGGACCCTGGAGCTACACCTCCCCCCACCCCCACACACGCTCAAGGGCCCAGCGGATGGCAGGGGGCAGGGCAGGGTCTAGGTCTTCTCACCTGAGCCGCAAAAAGAGGACAAAGGCCACCAGGAGGGCCACCAGGGAGATGCAGTGGCCCAGGTAATTGATGATGACAGCAACATGGTAGTGCACTTTGCTCTTCTTCTGAGGCGGGAGGGAGAGAGGGCAGAGTGAATTCTCCTGCCCAGCCAGCCGTGCCTCCGAGCCCACTGGACTAAACAGCTCCATGAGGGCAGCACCAGGGAGGGGTGTTGGGGAAGAGTGGCAAAGAGTGACTAATAGTGGCAAATAGTGCCCTGCTCCAGAAGGACCTTGTGAGCCACCCCACCGCCTTGGCGTGGCACCAGTCTTCCTCCACATCCGGTCTCCGTCTGCCATACTGTGTTGTTAGATACGGACCGAGGCTACACCCATTGTCTCACAGTGCTCCCGTAGCACATTAACACTCCCCCCCTCCCCCCAGTGCTCACAGCTGCCTCACTCTGTCCTGACACTACAGGCTCCGGTGGGGGGGTGCAGACCCCCCCATCCCCCATCCCTCTGAATTTCATTCCTCATTCACTTCTGAATTGAGTCCCTGTCTTCCTGATCACCCCTGCATCTGGCTGCGGGATGATCTCGGGTCTGGATCCCCGACACTCACGTGAAAGCTGGGTATGGCTGTGGGGTTCTGTGACTTCAAACCAGAGACAGGTGGATGCCTGGGATCACCGACCTGCCCTCCCAGCAAACACTGTCAGCCTCAGGTTTAGTGAAAAGATCCCTGCCCCCCAAACTACTGTGCCCTGCCCACTGAGAGCTACACCCTCAGCTGATCCTAATTAAAAAGAAAACCATTTAATTAGATCTATTTCTTTATTCGTTGTGCACATGTGAAGGAGCATGAATACGCTCATGTGTGTCGTGGCATGTGTGTGGAAATTGGGAACAACTTTTGCACAAGCCCGGTCTCTCCTCCCACAGGTGATCCCTGGGGTTCAGCTCAGTTTGTCACACTTGCTGGCCAGCACCTTTGCCCACTGAGCCTTCTTCTCCGGCCCTGAACTTTCTTAATTGCTCAGTTATGAATATGCAATGGAAGCCGTCCCACTCTCAGTTCTCCTGGTCTTAAAGCTTCTAAGTGGCCCCGTGGGAAAAGCTGGAAAAGCGTTTGTGTCCTTGGCAGAAAAAGAAAGCCAGAGATCTGTTCAAGATCACCAACTTCAGCTTAAAAACGCCTCTTACCTACAGGTGAAGCTGGGCAAGGCACTGATGCTACAAATGGGTCCTGACTCCACAGGGGACCGGCCAGTGTCCTGTGCCCACTCTCAGAGGATCCTCAACGCAAAACTCCCATTCACCCTTTCCTAGGCTCCAAGGAGGCGGGACATCACATTAGCAGCTCATGCCTCTGGCTCCCTGGGACCCTAGGATGGTGAGTAGAGGCTGGGCAGGGAGGCAAGGGGGAGGGTCCATTCTGCCCTGCAAACGCCGAGTGTCTCTAAGGGTCTGCAGCAGATGCCAGGATCCTACGAGAGGCTCCAGACAGGCATGCACGATGCAAACTCTGTGTGGAATCAACACTTGATTTCCTTTTATTAAATTTTCCACACTTCCATGCGGAGAAGCCCCTGGGTAATAACAGCATCTGTAGAGCTGAGCGGCTGCCATGCCCTAGCTTTCTCTTCGACCCTAGGAGGGAACCGGGAGGAGGGGCTTGCTGGCCACTCTGCTTGCTCTCAGGTTGCAGCTGGGTAGTTTTGAGAGGACCTACTGCATGCTGGGTCCCACACCACAATCCTCAGTGTTGAGGCTGGCCCCTGCTGCCTTGTTTTTTTTTTTTGTTGTTGTTGTTGGAAAGGCTGCACAATTGATCCATGCTGTACAGTTAGCAATCAGAGCCTGGACCAGCTAGCTGGCTTTTAGGATCCTCTTCTTTCATCCACAGGGTATATGAGGGGGACAAGCGCTCTCTGGGGGTGCTTCCTCTTCTGGGAGAGTGTGGCTCACTAGTGTTTTTCTTCACGAAGGCTGGAATGAAAAAACAGAGCCCAAAGCCACGGGGGCAGAGATCCAGCTGGGTCATGCTCTTGGTTCTACTGGCCTCATGAGCCTGATGCAATCCAAGGGCCAGAGCTCCAAGACAGCTACAGGGATGGCAATGTCACAGAGGTACCCCGAGACACGACAACTGCTGTGATGCGAATGCGTTCCCGAAAGTTTAAGTGCTGGAAACATGGTACCCAGCTGTGTACGCCTCACTGCAGGACCTTGGTTCCCTGTAAAAGGAGGTGTGTCCCATCCTCTTTCTCTAACCCTTTCTTTGCTTTCTGTCATGAGATGCTAGCCCCTCAACCTTGGATGTTTCAGTTTTCCAGAACCAAAAGCCAATACATTTCTATTTATCATAAATGACCCATGAGCCAGGGATGTGGCTCAGTTGATAGAGTGCTTGCCTAGCATGCAGAAGCTTTGGGTTCGATCCTCAGCACTCCGTAACTCGGGGAGTGACGGCATACGCCTGTAAGCCCAGATCTCGGGAGGCAGGGTTAGAAGGACTGGGCTTTGAAGTTTTTTTTTTTTTTTTAATGCTTAGATTTATTTATTTTATCTTCATGTGCATGAGTGTTTTGCTTGCATGTACGCCATTTGCACACTGAGTATGTGCCTGATGCCTGCAGAGGTCAGAGGAGGGCGGAGATGGTCGTGAATCACCATGTGTGTGCCTGGAAGGAAGTCTGGGTGTGTGCAAACAGCATGTGCTTGTGACTGCTGAGCTGTCTCCCCAGCCCCTCATAAAGATCTGAAGTTTTGAGGTCAGCTTGGACCACATGGGACCTCGTCTCAAACATGAAAAGACTCAACCTCAAGTACTAGAACAAAGCCAGGTCAAAACAGTTGCTAACACTCGAGAGACGAATGCACGCAGAGACACCCAGGCGGAACAGCAAGTGACGCTGAGAAAGCTGGTAACACCCCAAGAGGTTGTCAGCGACTCCTGGAGAGACCAGCCAGTAGAGTCCCAAGAGACAGCCAGTGATCTCTCCAGACTCCCTGCAAAAGATGCCAGGGATACCCTCACACACTCAGACTTCCTGGACACAAGCCACCAAGAACTGCAGAAACCTCTGGATGCCCAAAGCACGAGAAGTCAAAACCAAGCCTGGGGAAGCTTGACCAGCACCCTTCCTTTCCCTGTCCAGTCTGGAGACCCGAGACCCAGAGGCTCCCTGGGGAGGGTGGCCCAGTGGGGTGCTGGAGACAGGCCACTGTGCTGTGCCCTCAAGACCAGACTCCAACAGGCAGTTTCTGCTTGGCCGATTCTGACCAGATCAGAAGATATCATCTTGCCCCAAAGGCCGGTGCCATGAGACCTGTTTGGATGCCCTGCCAGGATGAAAGCAACGGGATCACCACGGCTCCTTCCAGGTGACCTGCCTCTCTTGCTCCCTGTGCCTGCTCATCATACTGTTGGCTTTTCCTGTCCATCTGGCTGCCTGAGCTGCCTCTCTTACTCCTCTGTGGGTGGTCCGTATTTCCAGGTCATCAAAAGCATCAGCGGCCAGGAGTTTGCAGACATCTTGAGAAAGGCAGAGTCTTGAGACCCACCCTAGCCACACAGAATCAGAATCTTCCCTCTGGCAGCAAGCCCAGGAGGTTCTGAGACATCAGAACATTCTAACCAATGCCCCACCTCAAGCCCTGACCCCTTGGCTTGTAAGCTCTTGGAGTCCCTTTCATGTCCCCACTATAATCTCCCAGGATGGATTTGAGACCTTGTGCTCAGTGGTATGGGGGAGATGTTAGTATCAGGGGAGAGCCACATACTAGTTGACAGTGTGAACCATCACTTCATGGGTGAAGCTACAGGAAGTAGAGGTTAGTACAGGGTGGTTCTGGGGGACTCTGCATCATCCCTGGGCCAGCTGGGGATCTGTCCCCATGAGGTACCAGCTGTGGACATATCTCCTCCGTACCTGACATCTCCATGCCCTCAGAAGTTCCACTTCTCAGGCAGCCTTCTGAGAACCCCGTGGAAGTTTGAATGAGAATGATCCCCCTAAAGGCTCGTTTATTTGATTATCTGGTCCCCAGTTGGTAGAACTGTTTGGGAAGGATTAGGGGCTGTGGCCTCCTTGGAGGAGGCGTGTCACTGTGGACGGGCTTTAAGGCTTCGAAAGCCCTCGCCGTTTTATCTTCTCTCTCTGCCTCTTGGTCGTGTTTCAAGGAGTGAGCTCTCAGCTACTGCCTGGTGCTGGGCCTGCCTCCCTGCTCTCATGTTTCCAGCTGTGAGGATCATGGACTCCAAACCCTCTGGAATCGCGAGTCCCAGATTACAGACTTTCTTTTGTAAGCTGCCTTGGTCGTGGTGCAACAGAAAAATAGCTAAGACAGACCCACTATTTCCACCCCCATCCCACCCTTGCCTTTGATTTGGGCTTATTCCAGACTCAGAGCCTAGCAATCTGCTGCTCATTCGGCTAGACGCTTGCCTCTTCGGGTAAATCTGAGAGGACAGACAAATGCACATACGTGCATACACATACACATGCAAAAAGGCCCATTCTCAGGTTGTCCTTGGACAGTTTGACCTTACAGGTATTGGCTGGGGTTCTGGAGGCTGTGGGTGAATGAACGTTCTGGGTGACATTAAGCAGGTCTGGAAATCTCAGGATGGATGGAGGGTCTCCCTCCCAGTTGCTTTCTAACTCAGACCTTTCAGGTGATGGAATTTCCAGGATCCCCTGGACCAGTCTGCCTTCCTCACACCTAAGGCCCAGGGACCTGGCAGCCTGGGGCGGTTTTGTTTCCAACCCTCTGCTTTCTGCTCATTGGTTCTGCCAGCCTGACCCCACCCTCCTTAAATAGGGTAAAGGGGACTGAGTGTAGAGAGTGACAGAGGAACCCATATTTACACAAGATTCTTCGTGGCGATGCTGTCTGTAAAAGCCAAAGACACAATGAAGTCTGGCCCGCTCAGTTATGGCACATCTGGACTGTGGAAATTATGCAAATGTAAAGAGAATGAAGATGCTCACTCTAAACCTACATGGAACAATCTCTGGGCTAGAGCTAGATGGCTACATGAAGAAGCAGGTGTCAAGTACTTTGTATAACAGGTAAAGTTTGGGTACGGCCAAAAACACTATGCAGTGGCACATTGACTCAGACATGCAGAACACATGAGAAACTGGCTGAGGGTAGCAACGGGAAGGGCACCTCTCACTGCATTCCCATTTGTACTTTTAAAATTTTACATTCCATATAAGAAACAGCTGCTAAAAACCACTGAAGTTTTGCAAAGCATCTCTAGGGCTTTTGCAAACTGCATCATCACCTCACTTCCAGCCCTGGTTCTGACACAGGCCCCGTGGCTGGACCTTGATGTCAGTCTTAAGGTGTCAGGGTAGATCTAGTGACTGTCTAGCTTAGCTGTATCCCAGCCCTGTCCCTCATTCAGCACAAGCAGCCAAAGATGAATGGGAGAGAAAGAGAGAGGGGGAAGAAGGGAGAAACAGGAAGGGAAGGGAGGAAAAGAGGAAGGGAGAAGTAGGGAAGGGAGGAGGGAAGAAAGAGGAACCAGGACTGGATTCGCTACCAGTGGCCCTCCAACAGCTTCTGGAAAGTTCCCAGATCCCAACTGGCCATGTGGCAGGCATCTGGCCTGTGCTGGTGGCCCTGGCCTGCTCATCAGGATGGTGGCTTATTCTCACCTCATCATTGAGAATCTCCTGGCACTCGGAGTAATTCACTCGGGCTGCCCAGCTGCCGTTGGCCAGGCACTCCCGGTAGCCATTGTCTGGGAAAAGAAGAAAACCCATGATAGAAGAGCCATCTGTTTGTCCAGCACAGGGCCTGCCGGCTGGAGACTCTGGAAAAAAACTGGGAGAAAGGGGCTCCCTGATTACCCCATGTTTTACTTCTTTCTACTTCACTACCTCAGAGGACTACATCTGTGCCCTATAAGCTACACACAGGCTTTGAGTCTGTTAGCCCAAACTGGCACTAACATGTACTCCCTGCACCCCCAAGGGGGGGGGCTACCTCCCCACAGACCCTCTCCAGTGGTAAATTTTCTGGTTGCTATTCTTCCAAGATTCTCTCTTTTTTTTTTTTGGAGGGGGTGTGTGTTTCAAAGCAGGGTTTCTCTGTGTAGCCGTGGCTGTCCTGGACTCTCTTTGTAGACCAGGCTGGCCTCGAACTCACAGAGATCTGCCTGCCTCTGTCTCCCTGAGTGCTGGGATCACAGGCCTATACCACCATGCCCGGCTCTAAGATGTTCTTGTTCGGGGGTCCTGCATGACGGATCCTGTGACTTGAGATACACTGGGCAGCCGGAAGCGGTGGTGCACGCCTTAAATCCTGGCACTCGGAAGACAGAGGTAGACAGAGATCTCTGTCAGCTCTGGGCCAGCCAGGGCTACATAGTGAGACTGTCTCAAACAAACAAACAAACAAACAAACAAACAAACAAACACCACAGCTGGGCAGGATCTGGTGGACAAATGTGCAGAGGGCGCTCACACGGGTGATTTAAATGGTGGGGTTCCTTGGGTCTGTCTCTCTGTGTGCAGTTCTCACACGAGAGTGTCTCACATGGGTCGGGTTGACGGGAGGTTCCGATATTATCGCTTCTCCACAGCAAGGAGGCGTTTTGCTAGGAAAGGACAGATGTGCTGGGGTGACACCGAATGGCTCTCAGGTGTCAGGTAGCTCACTCCTAGGCCTGCTACTGCTGCTCTTGGCCTGGGAGGTGACGCTGGAAAAGATGGTGGAGAGTGCTACAAAGGTGGGTACTCCTCTCAGACTGGACCTCTCACCTCCCAAGATCTGGAGGGGCTTTGGGGCTGCTCTACTTGGCTTTAGAGCCTTGGGAGGGGCAGGTTGCCTAAAAAGCTTCTGTTACTCACTCCCTGCGTAGTCCTCTTGGGTAGCAGAGATGGGAAATCCATGAGGGAGGGAGACCCAGGAGTGTCTGCATCCTCCTCACCCCCTTTGATGTCTTCCTACCTCACCCACATCCTCTCTGGCATCAGTTTTGCCAACCCTGCTTCATATTTCTGGCTCTTACTCCAGGCAGCATTTGTTATAAAAGGAACTGAGCCTTGAGTCAACTTCTCTGGAGTCTCTCTTACAATAGTGTGCTCTGTGACTCCAACTGACCCATGGGGCTGGAAGAGGGCAGCGGAAGCTGCCAGAGTCTCAGTTCCTGGTCTTGGAGCTCTACAGGGGCCACAGGCATAGCTGAGTGGTTAGAATGCTTCTTGGCCTTTCCATTCATTTCTAAAGGTGGCGATGCCCCAGTTGATCCCTAAGGATCATTATCAGCCTGGGAGCCGCCTCCTCAGCAGCATCAGGACCAAAGATAGATGCAGAATGAGAAGCCCGGGGAGAATTAAAGCTGCCCCAACAGAGGGAGCCGGTCTGACCTTCCAAGCTGAAAGGCTGTGGCCTCCTCTCTAACTGCGGCTCTCTCTGGCTGCAGCTAGCTGATGGGGGAAATTATCTTTATGGATTTTCTTAGATCTGCTTGGCCTCACTGTGAGCCGATCTGAGCCCTGGGCAAAGCTGTGATCTGGACAGTCAGCAGTGAGGTCGTAGGCTCTCTCGGGTGTTAAGTAAGAGCGGATGCCCAAGGGACTCACAATGAGGGTGCTCTGTGGAGACAGGAGGCCAGGGACAAGGGGGTTGATCACAGCACCCTGTATGGGTAGGATGTGCCTGGCACCTCCAGAGGCAGATTAGAACGCCGTCAGAGGGAAAAATGGGGCTTATGGCAGAGATGGATGGGGAGAGCATAAGGCAGAGAGAGGCATCCCAAAGCAGGGTTCAGAACAGGGCCCCTCAGGCCACAGAGTCTAGGTTCAAATGCTGGCACTCCCCTTACAATCTGTGTGACCTTGGGTGAGTCACTTGATGGCTCAGCTCCTCTATCTCGAGACAGAGCCATCTTGAAGACACTCTGGCCTCCTTGGGTTAGTATTTTTAGTGAACAGTTGGAACCGTATTGGGCATATGGTGTCAGTCCCGTGTTTATTATTGTTGTCTCTGAGCTGTATTTATATAACCTTACATAATAGATCGTATCACTTCTCTCTATCCAAGGGGGCAGGGTGCAGGTGAAGATTTTCTAAGAATCTGTTTTGTTCAACAACTTTCCTTACCCACCCCCAACTAGGGTAGGTGCCTGGAGCTGGTCCGCAGGATGGACATTAGGAAGCAGCAGGAGTTGACCCAGAGGGACAAACTGACCCTAGAGGAAAACAAGCCTCACACACAGGGGCTTGTTGCCAGGAAGGAGCCAACCTCCTCGCCTAATTGCTGAGCTGAGCAGTCCTCCTAGAGGATCCTGGGAAGATGGATATTTTTGGAAATGTTTCCCATCCCTTTCAAGATCTGATGCCGCAGGAGGGAGGACAGTAAGGAGCAGCCTGGAAGTCCTAGCAACACCTCATCAGTAAATGAGTTAATTAGAAGCTAATGATTAGGAGCAGCTCTGCTCCCTCCCGACAACACCGTGGGCACACTCCCATCGCCTGGCACCAGGGGCACCTGCACGCGAAGTCTAGCAGCCCTTGCCAGGGAAACCAACATCTCAGCTTTCCCTCTGGAATTGCTGGGTGAGCAAGGGAGCCCAGGGGATACCTCATCCCACCCCCATCCATCCTGCAGGTAGAGAAAGAAAAGCTCAGAGAGGACCCCAGACCAAGGGCTCTTCAACTATGGACAGACAGAGGTGGCTCTAGAGGGCAGGGTGCCTGGCTCCTATTGAAGGGAGCGTCCATGTCTAAAATAGCCTTAAAGCCTGATGGCACTTACTGGAACATGTCCAGTAAACCTTGGTAACCCGAATTGCAGGAACCTATGGAGAATGGCTGGGGCTGGCTGCAAATGTGGGCAGAGCTGTACCCACAGACAGCCTAGCGTACTCCACTCAGGAATACAGGCAATGGTGAGGCACAGAAAGGTAGGCTACGGGTGGGGTGTGACAGGGTCAGGTTGGGCACTAGGGCCTAGACTGGAGTGCCTGAACCTGGGCAGTAGGCAGGAAGGGAGATGAGGAGTGTTTTAGGGGTGATTAGACAGGCCCTGGTACTGCCAGGAAGGGAGAGAGACATCCTGGGGAGCTTGGCCGTGCCAGCCCATGCTGCCACTGTCCTGTGGGGTGTGAGGTGTATGCAGAGCTGTGTGCAAGGCCCTAGACCCCCGAGTTCTAATTCTACCTTCAGGCTCTGTGACCCTGATTAGGTTATCAACCAACCCCTGCCTCAATTTCCTCTCTACAAAATGTGCCCAGCTGAACTGGAAGCTAAATCGGAAGCTAGCCGACAATGCACCACAATGCCTCCTCTTTGACCTCTGACCTTTACTCCTTACCTGGCCTTTCCTCCTTAGACCCCTCACCCATTCTAGTATTTCTTCTCTCTCTCTCATGACCTTCCCACGGCCACCTTCTCAGACCCTTCTGGCTGTATTCCAAATCTTATCCCCTTCACCTCCATCAAGTCAAGGAAGGAGGGAGGGGCAGAGGTTTGGGAGTTTAGAGTGGGAGGTCATCAGCCCTCTAATCCTCAACTGAGGAAGCCAGAGGGCCACAAGCAGGGAGAAGGTTACCCACGAGGCTCCACATGGGTCACCTGGAATCTGGTCATTTTTACCACTGTTCGGAGCTTGGGGATCACTCACCCACCCCTTCAGGACTCACCTAGGGGCTCCTAGCCCAGAACCCAACCTCCTTTGTGTGGCCCAGGGCCCCTGACCTCCATCTGTTTTTCTCTTGATAGCAGGGACCTGAGTCATTGGCAGGAGAAAGCAAATTAATTCTGAGGGTGGCAGATGCTATAGCAGGGAGCTGCAAAGCCCAGCATGAAGGCTGGGGCCCCTGGGGGAGCAAGGTGTTTACATGGGGATCCAGTATCTGCTCAGCCCATGGGTCGGTCCCACCCTACCCCCATCACACCTGTGGGCCTGGGATACTTGAATACAAGTCACTGTCTACCAGGCGTCTGGCACACTAGGTGCCCTGTCTCCAGGGAACCTCCTTGCCCTATTAGGACCATTACTGACCTATCTCAGGAGTGGCTGAGGGGCAGTGGGACTAACCAGAAGCTTGTCAGCTACAGAGGAAAGCATCAGCTTAGACCTGCACAGCCCAGCATCACCCACTACCAGCAAGTGACTTGGGCAAGATTATATATATTCAGGTGTTTGCTCTGCAAGAATCCACAGGAGCAAGCAGAGAGCAGAGCTGGTCCTAGGGGTGTCCATGCTCTTAGATTATCCCTCCCACCTCCAAAGTTCAGCTCAGCCCCCAGCAGCCCCCTCTTCCTTGTTCCTTACTTGTCGTGTTGTAGCGGACACCGTAGAAAAAGGCAGGGCAGGGCCGAACCACCAACTGCCCTGCAGGGCTCCTGGGCCAGCAGGTGCCAATGAGGTCCACGGAGGCATTGCACTGCAGGCCTAGGGTCAGAGACAGCTGGTGAGAGAAACTGAGGTCTTGCCCAGGCCCCAGGCAGACAGAGAGCCCTCTGGAGTTCTGCCCACCCTCAGCGCACCAAAGGCAGGAAAAGCAGCGCCCCAGCGCAGAAATGAGCTCAGCCTATGCAAGAATGTGAAATTTGCTGCTACAGCACTGGGGAGGCTGTGGGTTCCAGGGCAGAACCAACAGCTAAAGCCCTGGGGGGGCTTCAGATCTCCCCCTCCCGCTGGTGAGGAGGCTTTCCTGACAGGATGGTCACCAATTTGCCCAGCACAGTGGAGGTTAAATGCACTGTCAGGTGTCCTGGGAAGGACATGTTTAGCATATCATCTGGCTCTTTCCTTCCTTTAACGGTTCCCAGATACACTTCTGCTAAGACCCGAGGTGGGGGAAGGACCGCAGGGCGGCTAGAACCGTTTGATGTCAAGGCCAGCTAGAGCACTGAGGCTCCACCCACAGCTCGTCCAAGGGATTGGGGGACCCACCGATGGTGGGCGAGGCAGAATGGCAGATGTCCCTGTGGTCTTCCTTGAGATAACCTAAAATCTAGTCTGGTCTTTCACCCACCTGTCCGTGTGGGCTCTAATTCCCAGCTTTATAATAAGGGAAACTGGAGGCCCGGGAATGCACAGGGGTCGACACCAGGAGGCTACGGAGAGGCAGGGTGTAGTTTGAACCCTGGGCTTCTGAGGCCAGCTAGGCGCCTCCACCGTCCCACAAGGGTCCTTGGCCGGCAGCTGCCTTTTGCAGCATCTGGCTAGTGCTCTCTGTGCCATGTTCCTTGAGCCGGTCCCAGACCCTCACAGAAAGCTGCTGAAGTGACGTCGGGGATATAGCGACCTTTATATTAAAAGCCCAGGAAATCCTGGGGCATGAAAGTCTGTGAAAGTCTGCACGGTCCGGAGGAGAGAGGTGGGAAGAATGGGGTAGGCAACCAAGGCGCCAGCTTCGCCCAGAGAGCAGCAGGGGTCCTGTGGGTGGGGCAGTACTGGAGAGGGCGGGGCCACCGGTATGGCGGGCCAATCAGGAGCGGCGGCCGGGCTCCACGGATTGTACTAGCTGCTGAAACTGGCACCAGGGTTTCAGTCCACCCTTAGGAGCTCCTGGGTGCTTGGGAGGTGAAGAGAAGAAGCGCAGGGAGCAGGCAGCAAGTCAGGACCTCAGACAGCGCTGCTCAGCGCACCTCCTGGCTCGCTGTCCAGTAACAGGCGTGCAAGCCTGACCAGCGTTTTCAGCTCACCCTGTGGACCCCACGCCTGAGGAAGAGGGCAGGGTCCCTGGGGATCCGGCAGACAGATAGGGTCTCTGAAGAGGACCAGTAGATTGATAAGACACGGGAGAGGAGGGACCAGCATGAATTAGCAGGCACTATGAAGGGTGCTTTGAGGATAGGAAAAGAAAAAAGCTGGAGAAAGAAAGAGCAGGCCAAGTTTGGAGTGTGTGAGGGAGGCTGGCACAAAAGCATGAAGAATATAGTAAGGGTACAGCCTGGAAGGGCAGAGGAAATGCCCTGAGAAGCAGGCGCAGAGACTGGTTTCAGAGCATTGGAATTGCGTCCTGGCGAGATGAAGCCAAGGATCCCAAAGTCTGGGCTGCTGAAGCTCAGATTATTTTAAATGTTTTAACATCTGTGTGTGTGTGTGTGTGTGTGTGTGTGTGTGTGTGTGTGTGAGTGAGTGAGAGAGAGAGAGAGAGAGAGAGAGAGAGAGGGGTGCGGGGAGAGAGAGAAAGAAGAAAGGAGGAGGGGGATGAGGGGGAAGGGAGCCAGGGGGAGGGAGGAGAGGAGGGAGAGGAAGAATCAGTTTTCTTCTACCACGTGGGTTAGGTGGATATAACTCAAGTCCTCAGGTTTGGTGGCAAGTGCCTCAGTCCACTGAGCCACCTCAGGCAATGCGAAGTTTGAAATTTTAGGTCAATGACCCCTACAAGTACAACTATCCCAACAAACACCCTCCTCTCCTCTCCTCTCCTTCCTCTTCCCTCCTCTTTCCTCCCCTCCCCTCCCCTCCTCTCCTCTCCTTTTCCTTTACTCTTTCCTTTACTCCCTCTTCCCCTCCCCTTCCGTCCTCTTGGTGGGGAGGTGGTCTCATCTCACTTTGGTACCATAGTTTTGAGATGAGAGCCAGCCTGGTCAGGCCGGGCCAGCCTGCTAGCTAGTCAGCTTCCCTGGCCTGCAGCAGCAAAGGTAAGCTGCATTCTGGGAGCTAACACTTCCCATAGCCAGCCACCTACCTCCGAGCCCCTTCCTGGTCAGTTACCACAGGGACAGGGAAGATCAAGGGAGGCTTTTACGATTATTCTTATTTTCATACAATATATTTTGATCATATTCATTCCCTTCCCCCCAACCCCTCCCCTCTCTTAAAAACAAAACAAAACAAAACAAAACAAACAAAACAAAACGGTCATGGAAGTTTTGGTTTCTTTGTAAACTCAGTTATGTTATGTAAATATGTTTTTGTTTTTAATCCCAAGTGTGGGATTTTAGTTGGGCTATAGTTTAGCCACAGCTGTTAATTGCCTTTGCCAGCCAGTAAAGGCCTTCCACTTGTGACATGTGGGGAGGGGTGTGGTCTAGGACTCTGAGGATATAAGTTGGGAGCCCAGAAAGCGGTGGCATGGCATGCCATGCCTGTGTGTGGCATGTAGCAGTTTGGAGAGACCAGAGACGGATGGTGTGGTGGTTTGGAGGAGACAGACAGAGAGAAACTACTGGGCTCAGCGGCCTTGGAGGAGATTGCTGGCTGCATCTGCAGTTGACAGAGACTGGTGTAGCGCCCTAAAAGACCCATGGACCCTAAACAGCCAGGAGAAGTAAAGGGGCGCTCTCTCCCCACTAACCTTCTCTCTTTTACGTAGGGTGGGAGGTTGGATAAATAAATAAAGTAGAGTTTTAGAAATGAGAGCTACACAAAATTCAAATACTTAACTCGCCTCAGAAACAATGTGAACTGGAGACATAGGAATGAATAAAATGAATGTCCTGCTCCAAGGGTGCTTGCATTCTAGGGAAGATACAATAAGCAAGCAAACATGCGCTTATTCAGTGGGAAATATCACAAATAATGGGCAGAGATAAAGATGGACTGGGTGCTACTTCAATTTGGTATTTCTCTAAAGCACTAAGTTTAATTACAGACTTGAAAAGAGGGAGGCAGCCCTGTGCCCACATGGCAAAGGGGGAGCAGCCAATACAAAGGTCCCGAGGTAGGTGTTTGCTGAGGTATCTGGGGTTGACTCTTGTCACTGGATCACTCAGATAACGGATAAGGACCCTTCGAAGGGCGGCCTAGTTACTGCTTGTGCACAGTTTGGCACTGGTTACTTCGGTCAAGTTGGAGACACGGTTCCCTTCCCTATCAAGTTTAGTGCCCAAATGTGCTCAGGGGACCCTTCCATTGTAGGTAATGCCAGAGAGAAACCAGAACCCTGCTCCTGCCCAGTTATGGGGGGGGGGGTGTCTCACAAAGGGCGTGAGCCTCTGGCAGCTCGCTGCAGCTAGGAAGCTCTTCTACCCATATGGCTTAAGACTGGAGGAGGGGCTCTGAGGTTGCGGGGTTGGAGGGGACAGGTGCCTGGGGCAGCCTCTGAGATAGGCACTGATGGGAGGTTGGTATCCTGGGATGAAGGGGCAGTTGCTGTGAGAACACAGGGGCAGGCAGACAGGCTTGCCGCCTTGGGTTAAGCTGCCTCTTTGGCAGGGCAGAGAAAGGTGTTTCTGAGTTGGGGAGTGGTCTCGCCCGCCTTTAATCCCAGCACTCGGGAGAAAGAGGCAGGCAGATCTCTGCCAGTTCGAGTCCAGCCTGGTCTATAGAGAGAGTTCCAAGACAGTCAGGGCTACACAGAGAAACCCTGTCTGAACAAATAAACAAAGTCTTTGTAGGGTGTGGACACACACACACCAGGAGATCAGGTAGGAGCCCTTGAGCCCTTCTGTTTTGTGGCTCTGAACACTCTTGAGTTTTGCACCTGGTGACCCCAGGGTCCCCTTGAGCTCCAATTCCACTTGTCCGTGAGGTTATTAGTCAGTAATTCTATTACTTCCTGGCATAGTCACACTCATGCCACAGTTTTGTAAGTTGCCAAGTCTGTAATCTGTCACATGATGGGGGCCTTGGCCATGGGAACCTAACCCCTTCCTGCTTCTGGCACAAAGCGTGTGCAAGGCCCCCAAAGGTTCCAGCACGGTGCCAAGCACTCCAGCCAGACGTCCATCCATCTGTCCCAGACCCTACGCTCCACCCTCACCATCTGTCTCTGCCAATGCCCGTCAGCCTGGGTCCATCTCAGCATCAGATGACAAATGGCCATATCCGAGGCCCTTGTGGAGGGTGATGGATTGCACCCTATGAAGCCAGGCAGGCTGGGGTGGGGGTGGGGCATCCAGCACAAATCACGGAGGAATGAACACCATTCATCACGGCCGGCTGCCTCCAAGGACAGGTGACACCTGTGTGGCTCCAGGGTGTCACTTCTCTTGAACACAAGCAAGTTAATGGAGCCCGGCCTGGCCTGGGGTGGGGTGAGGAGGAGGGAGGAGGACCTTTCCTGCAAGCATCCTCCCTCCCTTCCTGTCCTTCTTGGCCACAACTGCCTGCTGACAGGCTGAGAACAATGCTCTCCCTGGTCAGAAAGTCCAGCGCTGGGACAGCTAGTGTCTCCCTCATCCTGGCGAGTCCTTCTGCCAAACTACCTACTGGTGTTCAGCCTCTGACTGTTCTATCTCTAGGCTCACTTAAAAATCTCCTCTCTCAGGAAGGCTTCTTGGATTTGCCCTGCCCCTGCCCCAGCCCCTCCCCCTCCACTGTAGCAGGCAAGCAATCGGTGGCACTTGTACTTTCTCTTCTTCCTAGCTCCACAGCAAGCGCTTTTAAAAGCCATCCAGGTTAAGCCCAGTCACTATCCGCACTCTACAGTTTGTGAAACACATGCGCAAAACTCAGTGCACCTAACCCCGTGGTCCCCCTTCCACCCCCATGACGATGTCAAGGGCTTTGCCTTCCTGTGGGTACTCGTCCTTAGCCCCACAGTTGGGGAGGGGTAGGTGGGGTGGGTCAGCCCAACTAGGAGTCAGTAGGGGACCCAGCTGGTGGCTGCAGGTCCAGCACTCCCTTCTTTTTTCCACCTCTGTGAGGGGACAGAGGCCACTGCCCTCAGTCGCTCAGCTCTAGAAAGGAATTCCTCCCGCCTCGCTTCTCCACTGGCTGCTCTCCTGCGACTCTCTAGACTCTCTTGGCACTGGGGACCGGGATGAGGCTGGGACACCCTCTCAGCTCCTCTGGTGACACACACAGGACCTACTGCATAGGAGCTGTTCAGCCGCTGATTCCAGAAGGCGACAATGAGTCCCCACTGCAACCTGCCTGGAAGCTGCCATCCCCGGGGCCGTGTCAAGAGTGACAGGAGGCACGGGGTCCGGAGGACCCATATTTGCGTCCAGACCCTGCTATTACTGATTGTGACATCCTGGGGAATTTATGAAACTCGTTCATGCCTCAGTTTCTCCATATGGACAGAGATCAGGTTTTTAGCTCACGGGGGTAAAATAACTAAGCCATAGGCCTTGGTGATGTTTGCATCCATCTTGCATTTTCTATTGGGGAGGTATAAGAGCACCTCGAGGGAGCCAGGTTGCCTTTGCAACTCGGGCTCCAGCTCTTAGTTGGTGTTTCTATGTTCCTCGTTTGCCCTAAGTGTCAAATGGGCGCGAGTGTCTCGGAGCCCCGGTGCTGGCAGCGTGCAGCCTAACTCTCCAGAACATTTAGCAATAGCAGCAGCCTTTGACCTTTTGCCACTAGCCCCAGCAGCAAGGCCTGGAGGGCCCTCCCCTGTCGCCCATGGAGTGACCCCGTGGCACATTTGCTGTGCCTCTTGTGCCTACAGCCAAGGCTGCTGGCTAATCCCAGTGCCCCCTTCCGCTCACTGACTCTGGTTCCAGATCCGTCTCCATACAGACCTCTCCAAGGAAGGAGACCCTTTGAGAACCTGGCATCCTGGGAGGTAAGGGGCACGGATGACTCACCAGAGACATTGCTGGTCAGGGACAGGCTCTCACAGCGCTGATCCTGGAGGGAGGTGGAGACAGGGTTCAGCCCCAGGAGGAGGAGGGCCTGTGGGCAGAAGAGGGTGCGGGACACCGTTAGGAGTGCTCAGCAATCTGACCTGATGATCCCTCCTCTGTCCTGCATCCTACCCCTTTCCCAGTCTCCCGGTTACCCTCCTGAATGTTTGAAATCACCTGGTTCATGGAAGGCTGGGAATGGGGGCTGCTGTTTGTCTCTGGCTGCTGGAGAAGGCCACCTCCACTGCACGGACCCCAGATATGTCCATCCGGGTTCCTGCAAATGCATGTCCGTACATTCGCACACAGCCTTCTACCTTCCCTTCCCCTGTGGTGTTTCAGGCCTGTGGTTTAATGAGATCCTCCTGGGGTCTCATCTCCGGTTATTGCAAATTGTGCTTCATGTGTCAAGCTTCTTCTGATGTGGTGTGATATCACGATGGCTTAATTCTCCTCAGGGCCAGCATGGATATGGCTACCACAGATGGGAAAACTGAGGCTCTGAAGAAGAGATGATTGTGTCTGGGAAGATGGGTCTGTATTCCAGGGAAGGCCTTTGTTTTTTAAGCCCCCGGTTGGCCCTATGTCCCCCTGACTCCAGGATCACAGCCCTGCCGGGATGGGAGAAGCATGGGAACTATGCCCGGAAGGCTCTTCTTGAACGGATGCCCCCAACCACGATGATACTTTCTAAGGCTAGAGTCTGGATGGGTGGGCTGTGTGACCTCTCTGGGCCTCAGTGTCCTCGCTCTTAAGCAAGCACAGCCCTTTACATGTTTGTGAACACGTACTGTGCTCACTTTGGACAACAAAGTCAACCAATGATGCTGTGTTGTGAGTATACAGTAGGTGCTCAAAGGGGACATAGGGACTGACTTGAACTCAGCAGTTGTCTGGTCCAAGGAGTGAGGTGGAGACAGGGGCTGTGGCTGGTTCTGTTTGGATTCTGTTTGTAGGGGGTGGGGGTGGGGATTCCATTGCAGAAGCCTGTGGGGGTAGGAGAGGGGTACGACATGTTCTGCCCTTCCTCCGCTGCGGTCCTAACCACACTGAGAGAAGGATCCGCAGGTTGGATGGCAACCCTGGAAGTACCCTCCTCATGGCCATCCCACTCTGCTCTCCTGTGCCCCTCTTTGGAAGGAAGCCCTAGGATTGAGAGGATTATCAACAAGGACCACTACACCCAGCTTTAGAAGCAAATGGAACTCTTTAATTCGTTTCTTTAATTTGTCTGTGGCTGGTCTAAGTTTCTCTCTCTCTCTCTGTGTCCCTTCGTCCATCTGTCTCCTTTCAGAAGCCAGTTTTCTATGTTCACCTGAAGGGAATGCTCTGTCTACTTCCATCCCAGTGGTCCCCCAGCCTCAGGAGTACTCCCTCCCTCACCCTTCTCTCAGGTGTGGATGACGAAGGCAGGTTCTGCTACCTACTTTCCCACCATACATTTGCATTCCTGAGCAGAGCCTGGACCCCCCCCCCATAAGAACCACCCCTAGTCCTTTGAGGTGGCTTACAGAGCCACATTGTCCCCTTGGTGTCTACCCAAGTCCTTAGTGGGCCTCATTTAATTCATTCCTTTGCCTCAAGCACCCAGCCTCCACCTCACCCTAGGGCTCTCTCTGCTCTTGCTGACACAAGCTTCAGACTCCCCAGCAGTCCCCAGTCCTGCCACCCTGTGCAGGTACAGCGGCCACTCTGCCATCAGCCCTGGGGACAGGTGAACTCACTCCTGGACCTTGACAGTGATTAGAAAAAAACCCATTCATTCCCTTGGCCCCAAGCAACTTCCCACACGTTTTCAATCAGTAATTAAGCATCGCTGTCTCCAGGGAGGTGAAAAAATATCATTAGCCTCATTTTCCAAATGCAAAGGCAGGAGTGGCGAGAAAAGGGAGCCAGGGCTAGCCGGTGTCTCCTGACAGCTAAGCAGAGGGCAGTGTCCTCATGACAAAGCTATACAGCTCACTCAGAATCAGCAGGGACCCAGGCTCTGTACTCTCTCCAGAGATGGGTGATGGCTGCTGGGTCTAGAAGTCCCTGCTAGAAAATCCTGCTCTCCTTCACTTACACACACACACACACACACACACACACACACACACACACACACACACACACCAACCAGCCAGCCAGTCAGCCAGCCAGCCAGCCAGCCAGCCAGCTAGCCAGCCAGCAGTCAGTCAGTCAATCAATCAATCTCATTTTATCCACAGGCAAATTAAAGAAACTGCAAATCCTGTTGGAAAATATCAGCCAACTGCCGAGGCCTACCCTTATCAATCTAATAAAACCTGCTTCCATCTCTCAGCTCTCCATTTCCATCTACTTACCTGTGTCATCTCTCCCCATACAGCCCCTCTGTCCTGGGACGCCTTTGCCCACACAGTCTGCGTCTCTTCTTAACCCTGTCCAGCACCTGGTGACTCAACTGTCCTTAGGGCCAAAACCCCTCCTTAGCCCTCCAAAGCAAAGTGACTCAGTATACCCTTTCAGTGTGTCCCGGGGACGCTCTCATCCCCTGCACATGTAGGGATATTCCCAGCGGAGGCCTTAGGGGTAGCAGAGAGTGTGTGAAAGCCAGCTCATTACTGTACACACTCGACTGCCCCGGCTCTAATTAGATGAGGAGTGGAAGGCCTGGAAGCTCTTATTCACACATCTTAATGTCCTGGAGTTCATTAGAGCAGAAATCCAGAAAGAGCCAAATGCCACAGGGCATAGGGCTCAGTTGACCGTGAACCCTGTTGCTTGTCTGTCTGTCTTGGATGTGCTAGGTCACAGAGACGTCTTCCACCCACAGAGGACTTGGGCTGCATTATGCAAAGGCAAATACTTGTTAACATTCCTAGGCTGGTTTTTCCTCTCCCAAAAGGTCAGTTCCGAGGCAGAATCTTTACCTGCTCCCCCTCCTGCTCTCCAGAGGTTTATAAGAGCTTCCTTCTAATTCTGAAATCATTCTTCCATAAAAGGTCCAGTGTTTCCCTGTGTTTTTCGTCTTGCAGACTGCAGCTCTCTCCACGCTCACCTCGCTTCGTCCCTCCGTCAACAGGAGAATGTTCTGCTGGTGGCAAAAGGCTCCCAAGTGAAAAGACAGGTTCTCTGAGCAAACTCAAAAATCCTCCTGCTTCAAGCTTCCCAAGCAAGGATTAAAGGCTAACACTGGGAATTCTTTTTTTTTTTTCCTTTTTAAAGATGTGTTTATTAAGTATACAATATTCTGCCTGCATGTACACCTGCAGGCCAGAAGAGGGCACCAAATCTCATTCTAGAGAGTTGTGAGCAATGTGGTTGCTGGGAACTGAACTCTTGACCTTTGGAAGAGCAGCCAGTGCTCTTAAGTCTGTGCCTTCTCTCTAGCCCCAAACTGGGGATTCTTAATCTGGGGTCCACAAACACACTGGGTGTGGTGGGCGGCGTGAACGCCCCATAATTAAATTCGGGATGGTACCTGTAAAGACTCATTTTTCTCAGGAGAGTTCGTCACTTCCTCTACTTCTCAGCAAGGTCCAGACCTCCACAAAGCCAGACTGGGATCTTACGGTTAGCCTGAGAACCAGCATTTCCTTAGTCTCTTCCCCATTGCTCTCTCCTTCCCGCCTTGCCACTGGACACTGGCTATCTCTTCAGAACCACCTTTTAAAGTTTTGTGGTGTGTATGTCTCTCTGTGTGCGTGCTGCATGCCCATGAATGCGCAGCATACAAAGGTGGAGCTCAGAGGACGCTGTCAGGTGTCCTCCTCTCCCTCTCCCTACCCTGTTTCTCTGAGGCAGGGATCTTTCCGTGATTCAGAAGCACACTCATTTAGTTAGGCTGTCTGGCCAGTGAGTTCCTGTGCCCTATCCCCTAATGCTGGGGTTACAAGCATGTGCACTCACGTGCTGCATTTTATGCAGGTTCTTGGGGTTCAAACTCATGTCCTCATGCTTGTACAACAAGCAAGCTCTCTTGACCACTGAACCATTTCCCCAGGACCCCAGAATTAGTTTTGAAAAACAAAACAAAACAAAACAAGTTTTCAGTATCTCATGAAACTTGTTCTAGCTAATAGAGAGGCTACAATTCTGTTAACAAGCTCGCAGTACTCGAAGATCACTGACTTTCTGAATGCCCTGGAGCTGTATGTACCCCAGCCTGCCAGCTCCAGACCCCAAACAAAACCTCTGCCTTACTGCTAAATCTCTGCAAGCCTTGAAGGTCAAGTCTGAGAAAGACAAGGGCACCTGTCTTTGAGTAGCTGCACAATGGGATGCCAGGCCCTCGTAAGCACGCGGGGCACCCACAGTGGGAGAGGGAACGGAGTCACAGAGAAGCAAGGAAAGAGGCACGGAAGTCTCTGGAGGGCTAATGGGCTGACTGAGCCTGACAGCTGCCTGCTCCAGCTCCAGCACGCCCCCACCCTCACCCCCAGGCCAGTACAATCTGAGCTGCCACCCCAGTTCCCAGTGTGACTCTGGCATAAAGGTTAATCACACCCAGAAAATGCTTATTAGAGACCAGAAATAACCGCTTTTTTGAAGCTCCATTTGGTCTTTGAGGTACAAAGTACAATTTTCTTTGATGGGACAATTCCATGATTAACCTTTTGGGGAGGGACCTGAGAGCCACAGGAGGGAGAGTTGGCCTGGAGGCAGCTAGGGCCACCCCCAACTCCTCAAAGTTTCTGAAGAATCAAGAGAGGGACCTGCCTCCCTTTCCAAGAGCATCCTGGGATATGAGCCCTGGGGTGGGCGTGGCCTCCTCACAGCACTGTTCACTCGTCCTCAGCCATTTCTCCGCCCTCCTATTGAGCTCAGGATGCAGTTCTTACTGGGTGACTGTGTGAGTCACCTGGCCCTTGACAGGCAACTTCCTTTTCTGTTATGCAAGGACAGCAAAAGGAGGAGGCGGACTTCTCGAGAAACAAGGAAGGCAATGCTTCTAGACTATGAGGCCAGCAGAGCCATTCTTACCATTTGGTCCCTCTGGGCCCCGGAATCCTCCTTAGTGCTGGACGGCAGGCTTAGGTTAACATCCATGAGGGTGCCACCTGCCCCATGCCCTGGCTACCTCAG